GGGGGGGGGGGGGGGGGGGTTAGTTTCCCTGATCTGAATTCTGGCCAAAATAGAAGGGGTTAAACACTCTTGCTCTCCCAAGAAGTATCGTGGGCTGTTTAATGACCATAGTCCAGGAAAGCATGTATCTTATCTAAAACATGTGCAGTATGGACAGTCTTGTTTGTATGCCTACAGAGCGCGTGGCCGTGCAAGAGCTTGCTTTTTTCTTGTTCCCAAGTGGCTGCTTCAGATAAGTCAGTTAGCCTTTCAGCTTGCCCTGCCTTCACTGGGAGTTGCTGAGAGTACAGTTTGGCTCCAGTGAGGAATTCAGACAGGAGCGATGCAGCTCCTCCGAGCAAATGGATCGCCTCGTTCAGCAGAAGAGAAGTAACGATGCGGCTGCGGAGGCTTTTGCCGCTTCCAGTGCTAACGGCTCTGTCTTTTCCTTTACAGCCCAGGGCCGGGAGGCAAGAACTGCCGCGGGGCAAGTGTGGAGCACACCGTGTGTGAAAATTTGCCCTGTCCTAAAGGCGTGCCCAGCTTCAGGGACCAGCAGTGCCAGTCTCATGACAGATACAGCGCTAAAAAGAAAAGCCTCTTGACAGCTGTCATTGTGGATGGTAAATTCAAGAGCTTTCCTTGTAGTTCCTCGCCATCCCTCCTCCACTGGTTTTAACCCCTTCTCCATTTGCTCCACTTGCCCCCATATGTCTCAGCCACACAATGCATGGGTGCCCACAGGCTGGCTGTGTGGGACACCCAACAGGAATCCCTAAATCTCACTGCCATCTTGTATCCCTCAGCAAGAGGCAGTGGGTCAATGATGGCAAAGGCTGTCACAGGTTGTGGAGCTAATTCAGCTGTCACCCATCTGCACAGCCAGGTATTTGGGAACAGGAGGTTTCCCATGAGCCTTGCCCTGAGAAACTTTGCACTAATTCACAACTCTCCTTGGGCTGTTCCTTTTGTGCCCCTTCATAGCCCGTTGAAGCATGCTGCTCTTGAACAGGTTTCCTTTACTGCTTGAAAAATGATTCCCAAATGCTCAGGAACATGAGAGAGAGGATGGTAAATAGAAACATCCCCTTTCACTGATATTTCTAAGAAATGTAAAAGGGCAGTTTCATGTCAGCTGATGATCTTGGGCCAAGCTTATATGGAGCGGTATCTTTGGTTGACACCTGGCAGCCTCAATGTTAGCAGTAACCTAGGTTTCATCCCAGTATTATCAGGATCCTCGTCGACTCTCGTGCATGGCACCCCCGGTCTGATACCCGGGGCTCTCAGAGAGAGAAATCAATCAAGTCTGCTTGCCATCTGCTATGGGGCAACAGGATGTTTGTGCTGAATTTGGCCTTCTCTCCCCTTCCCCACCCAGGCAGGACTCCAAGCAGAGAAGAAGGATGATGGGTTGATTCATGACAGCAATTTCTCAGCTGCCTCATGCTGGTAAAAGCAGAGCTGAGGGAGCTGTAGTCAACAGTCATCAGTCTTAGCTCATTCCTCATCCAAGCTGACAGCAGCAAGCTTCCTCCCCACAATCACAGCATCTACTGTTACTTATGCCAAAGAAGTCAGCCTCAGGATGGTACGGTGGGCCATATTCAGGTCTGGGGGAAGCAGCTGAAAACATACCAGCACTTGCTGGAATAAGGGAATTTTCTGCAGGCTTTGGGGATTCTTTTACCTAAATAACACAGGCCTTGAACCCAGCCCCCATGGGGGTTTGTTTGAACACGGTTAATCAATTAGCCTGGGGTTTTCCAAGGAGTCCACGTACACTCATGCCAAGGCACTATTGAAATACCCTAGAATGTGGACCCCTCCCTCCACTGGGGTTTTGAAGAGCTCACGTGTTTGTGTGGATACATGACCCCTGCCCACTTGAAAGCTGCCTAATTATGTTAACGCTGTTCCCTGGCTGAAAGACACTGCTGCAGGAGCATGGAAAGATGCACGATGGGGGTAGGGGAAATGCAGCATCACTATTTGAAAATAAAGCCTAGGCCTGTTTAGCCCACCACCAGGCAGGAAGGCTGGCACTGGCGGAGAAGGGAGCATTGCAAGGCCTCTCGCCGGAAGGTGAAGGGCAGGCGCTTGTCAGAGGTCTTTGAAATCTGTACTACCGGCATGGGGAGAGTCAGGAGGTTGCTGCCTCCCAAGAGGCACTAAGTACTGGCTTACATCGCTTCCCATGGCAAGAAGGTAGGCTTTTCAGGAGAAGTGTTTCTAAACACCCTTCGGGCACATCCCTCGTCTGAGCAAGAATTGATTCCCCTTCGCCATTCCTCCTCGAGTCCCCTGACCTCTGGACACTCTCTAGCCTGGTTCGCCTAATCTTGCCCTTGAGCGTTCATTTTATTACCTGCTCTCTCACCCGATATGAGACCCATTAAAGTCAGTTGGGTGAGGCACGCTGCCTACAGCATCTGTCTCACTCTCTCCTGCCATTGTGGGTGCACATGGTCCTTTTTACAGCCCTTCCTAACCATGTAAGAATTACCCTAGTCCCAGACAGAGCCTTCCGCTGCCCCGCAGCCGCCCGGGGCCTTTTTCCTGCTTTGCTCCACGTACATGCTCAGGGTTGCGGATGCCGGTCCCCACCCGGGACTCTTTCAGCGCTGATGAGGCTGCTAGAGACATGTTCCCCCAGCAGCTGCTTCTTCTGTCAGGTTGGTTCCAGAAAGGTATTGAGGTGGTTTGTGACTCCAAGGAGCATCAGTTTGGTTTTCCCAGCTGTCTGGCTCTTGTTGCTGAGTTTTACAGAGCAATACTGTCTCCTTTTCCGCCTCAATGAATTTGGCTGATTTTGCTTTGCTGGGGGCTACAGTGCAACTTCTTCCAGTCGCCTTCCCCTCTGTCCTGGAGCTCTGGATCTCTCCAAGCTTATTGCCCCAGCCCACCCCACTTTCATGCAATGCATATTCTAGCAAGCAAAACAACTCATGTTCCACTACCTCCAACTCACTTCAGTGTGCACCAAGTTTGGAAATGGTTATTCAGGTTCAAGCCTCCTTGCATTCAGACAGTACAGCTGTCCTAAGAAAGCAGACTTTGTGTTGTATTTGGCTTGCAGGCCCTTCTACTTTCTCACCGACCTCTCAGGAGGTTCAGATAGACAACTTCCCCTTACAGAGGTCCATCCATGGGTCTGTCCAACCTCAGCAGTGTTCTTCCCACAACCAGGAGGTGGAACTTCATACAAGACCAATTCCCACCTCCCAGCTGTTATCAGCTATCAGTCATTCCCTTCCCATTGAGAACAGCGTTGGTCCAGCAGCTTTGATCTCTCACTTCCTTCCTTCTCCCCCGTCCCATGTACATCTTGCCTCCTGCAGCATCTTGTAAAAGTGAGAACTGGTCAATTCTGCTGCAACAGGTGGACAACCCCCAGTTCTCCATCCCACTTCTACTCAGCAAAATCCAGTCCTGCATCATGAAATCCAGTCCCTTCTGCTCGTGATACGTGCCTTACCTAGGGAACTCCTTACTGTCATGATGGTTGTGTACTCCCCCAGGAGTGCTCCTAGCTCTTAAGATGCTTCACGTACTAACTGTTATTTCCCCCAAACTTCTGCATATAACAAGCTCCATTAAGACTTTGTAAACAGGTCAAAACGATGCCTGGTGTAGCCCTCAGTGGAGCGACAGGAGGGCTAGACTGGGTCCAGGGTCCCCCATGATTGTTAGTTGACTAGTGATTGCTGCCCTAGTCAGAGCTTCGTATTTATGTCTTCTCCAGCAGGACAGATGCCAGGCAGGGTTCATCCCAGTGCACAGACACCCTGCTGGAGCGGAGATCCAGTGGTGACTCAGAGCACACCATGCTCTTCACTGATTCCCCAGTGGGGTTTCTGCAGAACCTGGGGTGATGCTGCCTCACCAGCTGGAAAGTCTGGTTCTCATTTAACTGGTGTTAATGGGGTAACACGAGATCATCCGAGCTTGTTGCACATTAGGGATTTCCTCACTCTTTTTATATAGATAGATATTTAAAAAAAATTCCTTCTGTGGAAGCTGCCATCATCCATTATCCCCCCCCCCCCCCCCCCCCCC